TGCCACGACCTTCTAGAAGGAACTGGGGAAGTTACTTAAACCAACCGGACACTCTTACATGTATGAGTATGATCAAAACAATTCACTTTCATTAGAGTAATCGATTTCCGATACTATGTGCATAAAAATTGACCTAAGAAGTCAATTGTATGCGTTTAAAATAGAAGAAATATAACTAATATCAAGATATACGATATTAGTTAAATTCTTAAATTTCTAAACACATTTCCTTAATTTATCTGATTTCTAATTTCTGTTCTAAACCACTAATCCTAGCATATATCAAATGATGCCCGTGCTAATAATTCTATGCTAACCTTAAATCTTTGATTTCTAATTCACTCTCGGTATGAATCCCACGCAGAATAATCCGCTACCAAGCGCAGTTTTATATATATACATGTACATATCTATACCTGTCGTTGACTGTCCTCCATTTCTTATTGATTTGGCCCGGATTAATTAGCGTATTCTCTATGGACAGACTCGGGCGGGTGGGTAAAGCACGCATTGATGACAAAGTACTGCCAATGGTACATATTACATATCGATCAATATTGATTTATTTACAATTACGACAGGTATTACATTTCGTAACCTTAGTATCATCACAGGTCTTAATATGGTATGTATTAATTCGATCGTAGTATAGAAACGTGAAGTATAAAGAAGTATCTAATAACTATATATAAATGCATAGTAGATAATAAATAGTTAAGTCCTTGCGAAGGAAAATATAGAATAAAAACATAAATCTTTCAGATCGTCCGCTAGGCCTTTCTGCCTTCTAGGGCTTCTTCGGGCGGATTGGTGTCTATTTATTTATTCTTTCTATTTTTATTTTTTTAGTCTTATATATGTATTTTATTTTCATTTCAATTTTTTATTTAAGTTTTTAAGTTTTATTCAGGCAAATACATTCTTAAATTGATTTTATTTATATATGTTAATTTTATTTTTCATTTATTTAACTTTTTTTTCTAAATTCATTGTCTTATAGATTAATCTGTTTTACCTGTTTTCGTCGGGATCTCAAACTCATGATCCATGGTACGAACTCACCAATCCTATGAACATCAGAAACTCTAACTATCCCCTAAAAGGACCAATAGAAGTAGTTCGATATCAACGAAATCCTAGTGCTAGAAATTTGTTTTTAAATTGATATAAGCTCCTGGATAAAAAAAAAATATGCAAATTGCATAATTGTATATGTCCATCTCAGAACAAAACGCAAAACGTAGGTGTTTTAGAGTATGTTTTAGAGTCAATAAAATGTGTCAGGAGTTTTAACTTGTACCATGGACACACACATTGCAAAGAAAGACAAGACAAGTGTATGTATTGATACTACAATATCGATTGCATGTTCGAGTTGTTTTCAATAAAAAAGTAATCCATTACGCATGCCACATATCACATGTATTCCAACAAAAATAATTGCAATACGTCGGTCATATCATACAGGTTTAACACGTACAATGAACATATTATTCATCATGAATTCGTGCACAAGCAGATAAAAAAACAACGTAGATAGTGTTATCAAGTAAACGTGTACTTTATGAGAGCATTTGGTGATACATATGTAGTAATTGAAAAGCGTGGGAAGGATACGGGCATTTAACCTTTACGTCACTATAGCAGTGATATAACTGACAATAACAAGGGAAAATGGGAAGCTCTTAACATCTACTCAAGTTCCATTTTCTCCCTCCCCCAACACCATTCTAACTTATTTCGCCTTGTTTTGACGTTAGAACAGTAGTGAGGGCATCTGATGAGGATATAACGCTAGCTTTAGTGGTTAGAATGATACATACAATGTATTAGCAATGGAAACAAAGCAACTTATCCCATAGGGATTATTCAGAAGGTGCTGAAACTTCTTATGCGATAAATATTCGTTGTCACACAGTACGTATCCTGCATCAACGTTTGGAAATTGCTCCTGTGATCCCAATATTTAAAGCGAATGATTCCTGTATGGTGTCTAATAACAGCAATATCAATAGCTTCCCATCACAAGCACCTTGGGTTTTCACAGCTATGATTGTCGATTCTACCTCAATATCGAAAGGATATCAAAGATAATTAACACCTATATCAACGCAGGTCGTAAATGAAATGAATTTATTACAGAATTGTCTTGGAAAAGTGGGCTCTACATGCATGAATATTCGCCTACTGGTTAATTACGCATGCGAGATGTGAAGACAAATGAGGAATTCTTAAAAAATATTCAATTCAAGGTAGCGTGAAAATCCTCATGGCGGAGTCATGCTTTTGTCTTTGTTAATAAAAAAAGCGTTTCTTCGCTTTGAATCTGGCTAGCACTCATCTTGAAAGGAGCGAAACCAAAAAGCTTCTCTTATTTTACTAGTTTTTTTTCAAAATGGTCTAGCACCATATTGACTGAATGATTCATTGTATATGCCTGTTGGAAATGTAGTAACCTACAATTTACGAAATCCACCGCGACTTTAAGCTGGTCATTCCGTCCAGATGTGTCTTTTTATACCTTTTTTCCCAATATAAGTTTTATTCGAGGGTATGAAATTATCTTCTAGACAACATCAAATATGAATCTTGAAAGTTCATATCTACAATATATATCCGTTGAATCAGATTTCTTAAGATGTGGTTCTCAAAATATATAGCCATCGTATGTTGCTGCATAATAGACAAGGCCATGGCCCACTTGTATAAAACATCTCAACTCTTGAGATTTTCTCAAGTCTAAGATTTCCCATAGACAATACATTGCTTGAGATGTTCCCTAACTTTGAGATGTTTTATACAAGTGGGCCCAGTACCCTCATATTTAGGGCTTGCTTAGAGTAAATTAAGGTTATTTTTCATGCTGTAAGTGTAGGTGTCCATGTGACAACACCTGTAATTCTTCCTATTGTGTCCCTCTATCATTAAATCGTGATACAAATGAACAACAATCTTCTTGTAACAATTTACTAATTATTCAACTTCGGCTCGTAAAAACTGACAACAATATTCAAGAAAACAATAAAATAGCTTCTTAGAGCTTCTAAATTTGTGCTTATTGATATTGTTTACTATGTATTTATGTTGTTACATATGTAAAATTTAAAAATGCTAATAAGTTTAATTTCGAGTGTCATTAATTAATTTGTAATTGTCCCTATTAAGTCTACTACAAAGGTAACGGAATTATCTAGTTCATATTTCACACATTTTCAGTTCGCGAAAGTTAAGTTCAGTTAGGTGAAAATTGTCCTTATTAAGTCCACTATAAGGGTAACGAAATTATCTAGTTTATATTTCACACATTTTCAGTTCGCGAAAGTAAAGTTTTTCGTAGAAATATTATCTCTAAACAGTATCAATGTACGATATATAATTAAACGTAAATGTGTTTTATGTCACTATATATAGCTTGTGGTATTGTAATATAATCTATAACGGTATATATATTAAATGTGGTACGGTAAAGAGCACGTTTTCACGTGTTGCATTGAATGCCGTTGTTCTATGTCAATTTTATACTTGGTGTTATAATGTTTGTCGATGTATAAATTGATAAAAAGTGCAATGAACTGTTTTTAATGCATATTGAATTATAAATGTAATATGGGAGCTAAATATACTTGCATATATTAGAATGTAGTTCGGTATCTCGATACTTGAAACTTGAAAAGTACACAATATTATATAATGTAGTAATGTATGCCGATGTTCTAGATTAGCTTCAAATTACATTGACTATGATATACAATATGTAAAACTTTTTTGTTTGTGAAAACAAATTCATATACAATTGACTACTAAATGTTATCTTGAAGCTGTGACTCATTTCTACTTCCTCACAAAGATAATTCTTCTCCTAATTTGTTTTTAGTTGCATACAATATTTTACAATTTCTGACCTAAAAACATATGATGTATTAGCTTTTGAAGTGTGTTGCTTTCCAAATCGAGTTGGCTGCACTAAATGTTTTCATTCAAGTATCATTCATCTGCTAGATTATCTCAATTTTAATAAATAAAAAAAAATAAAAATAAAAAGTTATTGTTTCGATTTCCTACAAAAGATGATAACTGTTCTTGTACAGATTTTGGCATCAAAGTAAAATGAATTCATATCGAAAACTGAAGAGTAAATTAAACAATATACGTAAATCACAGCTCCTGGGTTTTTTGCATTGGAGTTCATTTGTGTTGTAAATAAGTTATCATTATAACGTTCTGTTCGCCACTGGGGTATAAAAACATGTTTCACATACACTCTTCAAACTTATTGACTGATCGACTTACACAAACATATTCTCTAAACACTATCTTACACATCCAGTTTGCATTAGCTAACTTTCCTGGATCTACTGTACAAGCAATATTACTTCAATACACGTATTTGTCTTAATGCATTCTGAAATCATATTTCTACAAAATACAGCTCATATCAGACGCTCCCAGAAACAACATCTGTTTCCCCGTGTGTCATCATGCTGTTAAACTCAAAATAGTGTATAAACGATAAACGCTATTGATCCCCATTGTAACCGAGGCATCTGTTTCAATGACTAGTGGCCATTCTCGAAAACACTCTCTATGAAGGTGTGAATTATATATAAGGTTCCAAACCATGCTCAACAATTGACAACATATAATTAAATTCAATGATTATTCATCGCCCAAATAACATATACTTATGCGGTTTTACTCCTTCTTTTTTTTTTTACATCGGATTAAAAATAACATTCGGATTAAGAGTTTGTTGCTGTCGGGATCGTTTAGGTTTCTGATGCTGAGACATGAGAGCGGCGTGTACTTTGTACGTATTACATGTACTCGCTATGGCACGCGGTGTCGCCATTTGATCGCGAGAGTTGATCAGATAGAAGCTCGTCAAGGTAAATACTCCATTTAATCTATATACCTCTGTGTGGCGCGGGTCACGTGACAGGTGATATAAGCCATCCCTGTTTAATACTGAATTGATCGGTAGATAGTACGTATCCAAAGAACTGTCGCCCTGGCGGTGACATCCTCGTGATCTTGGATAGTGCTGCTCTCTGAGAGACCCTCGTTTCATCGTGAATAGATCCACATGGATGGGCGGCTTGTCGCACACTACTAAATAGCTCGGGACCAGAGAGGTACAAAGCCAGAGGTCCGTTGCCTTGTGAGCTCCTATAGGAATAACTTGCGCTGTCGATATAACATTTGATTCTCAAAGAATGGTTTTATGAATATTCATCAGTCTTGAATATTTCCCAATCTTGGACAGCACACAAAATCGTATAATTGGTGCTGATGAATTCATTTCTCTCGACATCAGATTTATCACGAAGGGATTAGTATGGGAAGTTATTTCCATGGTGATAACATGTTTTACAAGCAAACGGGAGCTACTTCGTCGCCATGCGAACCTTCATAATATTTCTTATGTATACAAAGTCGTCATAGCAACAAGTGCCCGAGGAAAGTCTTTGGATACCACGTAATTGCTAAGGTCATCATAGTTTGGATCGTATTAATTAGTTTGTTCCATGTGAAAGAAGAAATCGCCTAAGCCGGTTATTTCAAAGAGCAAAATTATATTCGAAATCGAGGATTTATTTTTATGTAAAAACTTTAAAATCGGCGCATTTTTCAAGGGAATAAAAGAGTTATAATTGTGCAATGTGAGGAATTTACAAACAGCAAATAGTGTTTGTAAATTGATGTTAGTGGGAGGAGTGACATCATGGATATAAGTGCGTTTGAGGGTTTTCTTTTCTCTGACGAAACACGCAGGGTTGGTGGATAGTACTGGACTGATATTATAGAGTGAAGACTATTCGAAAATGTGTAAGTATTCTTTCTTTTCCCGTCTTTTCTTATGATATTCCTTGGTAAAAAAATAGTTCTATTAAACATTTGTGCTGTTAGTGTGAGTCACGGTGTAACTTTAGGCCTGATTTGTTTATGAGAATTTTATTGTTGTACAACTTAACAATTTCTCAACGTTACACATAGTTGGGCTTATGTTACCTACATCCACTAAGATATCTTAAAAAAGGGTTTTATATTTTCTTTCTATTATTAATCGTATTCGATTAATATTCAATATTAAAAATAATAATAAAATGGCTGAAGGAATAGAAACATTTCTGCACTTCTACATACTGTGTATTGTGTTGTGTAGACAAATATGCTACAAACTGCGTATTGTGTTGCGTAGACCAATGTATTATACACCGTGTGTTGTATAGACCCATGTACTACATACTTTGTGTTGTGTAGCCCATTGTACTACATATCTTGTGTTGTGTAAGCCCATTGTACTACATACTGTGTGTTGTGTAGCCCATTGTACTACATACTGTGTGTTGTGTAGACCACTGTACTACATACTGTGTGTTATGTAGCCCATTGTACTACATACTTTGTGTTGTGTAAGCCCAATGTACTATGTACTGTGTGTTGTGTTGGCCCAATGTACTACATTTGTATGTGCTATGTGTTGTTTAGGTCAATGTACTACATACTCTGTGTTGTTTAGGCCTATGTACCACATAATGTGTGTTGTTAAGGCCGATGTTTTTCATACTGTGTGTTGTGTAGGCCCAGTATACTACATACGTATTCAGTGTTGTTAAGGCCAATGTACTACAACATGTATATTGTGCAGACCAATGTTATTACTTACTGTGTTTTGTGAAGGCCAATTTACTACTTTCATACTGTGGGTTGTGTAGGCCAACGCACTTTATATTGCGTGGTGTGTAGGCCAAAGTACTACATACATACTGTGTATTGTGTAGGCCAAAGTATTACATACATACTGTGTATTGTGTAGGCCAAAGTTCTACATACATACTGTGTATTCTGTAGGCCAAAGTACTACATCATACTGTGTACTGTGTAGGCCAAAGTACTACATACATACTGTGTGCTGTGTGGGTTGTGTAGGCCAATGTAATACACATTGCGTGTTGTGCGGGTCACTGTACATGTATTATAAGATGTGTTGGGCACATCAGTTGATGTGTGCAGAATATCACATTGTTAAAATTATACTGATTAATTTTGATTGAATGATTAATAATCGACAACAAAAAGATGATACATTAAGTGAATTCTTATTTTTGTGCTAGCGACCTTGGTGAAATGTCTGGTTGTTTATTCGCTTAATGTTAAACGAGGTATTTTAAAACTAGTGTTGAAATACATCTATCGGGGAATACGAAATGAGTTAACAGAATATTACAGTTAAAAATATTTTGTGAATGACCCTTCAAGTTCATAGTGTTATATGAAGCATGTAAGACTTTGAAGTGTCAGCTCGAATCCGTTTGCTCACATTTAGAAAGGACCGCCATTGATGTTGACATTGACGTTATTCACATAAAACCTGTTACGCTGTATTTCCCGGATGACAGCTGACGTATACGGCCTTGATACGATTGTTCTATAGATTTAATTAAATGTGAACTTACAGTGTAAATTAATGTACAACATTCTATAATAACCACATCAGCAAACACCGCAGGTGGCCGGGTCGATGCGGACGGTACGTTATACGAGGGTGACAAAGGGTCGGTATAAGTGTAGTACTACTGTGATCGAGTCCTGATACGGCCGGTCTACACATCGTAATGGTCGAACCTGCTAATTGATGATATTTCTCGCTGCTTGTGGTTTCCGGAAGGAATAGGGAAGCGGATTAATTATCCACTGACGGAGTCCGTTATTGAGATATCGCATGTAATGCCTGACATCGGAGTTTGGAAACTTCTGCTGAGGACACAAATAACGCGCAGGGCTTTTTCTTATCTTCAGTTTTTCAGTCGCCGGTTTAATCTCGATATTGAATGTTTATAAATGAGAGTTGCGATTGTTGAGTATGACATACACGAGTTTAAGACATTATATAGCTCATGGATAACGACGATAATTCCCCCCTCCGTGATATTACTGAAGATCCACGACTTGTAAGTATTAGTTTCGAGTTGATTACAGAAGCGTGACTAAAGAAGCTTTCCATTCGATCATTATACATTATTTACTGATGGGAGAAAGTTGATATGTTAGTACTTTATGTTTAAAATTAACTAAACGTTTTATTGACCTTCACATAAACAGACAGGAAAAAATGCATCGGCGACAATACAACAGCGGTAGTTTGCATATTGCTTGTAGAAGAATACANGGGAGGGGGGGGGGTTATATTATATAAAACAAAACTCACCGACGCGTATTATTTTCTATTAATTCCTGAATAATCTTAAACGGTTTGTAATTAGATGTCATTTATTTATCGATAATGTAACTATTGAACAATGGGTTGCAGCATGCAGATTCCGAAGATTCCGTACTTCATATAAGTAGTTTATTCTGCTTATATTTGTATCTTGTCTGGTCGACGATCTCATTTTAGAAATATTTGATTCAGTGCTTCATGTTAGGAAGACTCTCAATCCCATAGCTTTACTGTAATTAAGCTGGACTTTATTCTGACACAGTAACACACGGAATACTAGTTTCAGTATAAATGATATAGTTTATCCAAAGTCATAATTTTTAAACGTTACGAAGGGTTTAATAGTCCTCTACCCCTTCCTCCGTAGTTCTTCCTATATTTTGAAACATTTCTTCATACGACCTTAAGCATAACTAATGAATGGTAAAAAGACGAAATTGTCATATAATGAAGTAAGTTGTGCTTGTATTGTTCTCTATCTGCATCGTCATACTTTGATACTATTTTAAAAAATTCCCCCTTTTTTCCAATTTCATGATTATTTCACATCTAACAAAAACATGAAACATAACAAATGCCAACAAAGACAGACGCGCTAGCTTCACGATCTCGTCTGTTTTGTGCTTTTTAATACACGTACGTAAATCAGCGTTGCTAAGCTGTTCAAACCTGTTGAATATATTGTACATGTGATTTAACATACTTTGGTCTCATCGTGAGCCGTAAACAACTTCTAATTACTGAGATAAATGTAACATGTTGATGCGAATTTCGTTCCGGTATTATCCGCGTGATGTCGTTTAGGATTGTCACAAAAACACAAGAACGGAAACATTCTAGTTAATTCCAATATTACTTGTCAACATTCGTGATTTAGTCCCGTTATAAACTATTTAGAACTGACAATGAGAAGGCGGAACAGCATCACTGTCGCGCAGCAATGTGGGCAAAGATCTTTTATTATTTGTAATGATTTTCCTTTTATTTTCTTAGTTATTCTCTTGCTACATTTTACTCCTGTGTTGATTTTCTTCTGTTTCCTAGGATTATTCTCCTGTGTAGATTTTCCTCCTGTTTACTACGTTTCTCTCCTGTGTAGATTTTCCTCCGGTTTACTACGTTTCTCTCCTGTGTAGATTTCCTCCGGTTTACTACGTTTCACTTCTGTGTAGATTTTCCTCCGGTTTACTACGTTTCTCTCCTGTGTAGATTTTCCTCCGGTTTACTTCATTTCTCTCCTGTGTAGATTTCCTCCGGTTTCCTCCGTTTCACTTCTGTGTAGGTTTTCCTCCGGTTTACTTCGTTTCTCTCCTGTGTAGATTTCCTCCGGTTTACTACGTGTCTCTCCTGTGTAGATTTTCCTCCGGTTTACTACGTTTCTCTCCTGTTTCCTCCGGTTTATCACGTTTCACTCCTGTGTAGATTTTCCTCCGGTTTACTACGTTTCTCTCCTGTGTAGATTTTCCTCCGGTTTACTACGTTTCTCTCCTGTGTAGATTTTCCTCCGGTTTACTACGTTTCTCTCCTGTGTAGATTTTCCTCCGGTTTACTACGTTTCTCTCCTGTGTAGATTTTCCTCCGGTTTACTACGTTTCTCTCCTGTGTAGATTTTCCTCCGGTTTACTACGTTTCTCTCCTGTGTAGATTTTCCTCCGGTTTACTACGTTTCTCTCCTGTGTAGATTTTCCTCCGGTTTACTACGTTTCTCTCCTGTGTAGATTTTGCTCCGGTTTACTACGTTTCTCTCCCTGTGTAGATTTTCCTCCGGTTTACTACGTTTCTCTCCTGTGTAGAATTTCCTCCGGTTTATCACGTTTCTCTCCTGTGTAGATTTTCCTCCGGTTTACTACGTTTCACTCCTGTGTAGATTTTCCTCCGGTTTACTACGTTTCTCTCCTGTGTAGATTTTCCTCCGGTTTACTACGTTTCTCTCCTGTGTAGATTTTCCTCCGGTTTACTACGTTTCTCTCCTGTGTAGATTTTCCTCCGGTTTACTACGTTTCTCTCCTGTGTAGATTTTCCTCCGGTTTACTACGTTTCTCTCCTGTGTAGATTTTCCTCCGGTTTACTACGTTTCTCTCCTGTGTAGATTTTCCTCCGGTTTACTACGTTTCTCTCCTGTGTAGATTTTCCTCCGGTTTACTACGTTTCTCTCCTGTGTAGATTTTCCTCCGGTTTACTACGTTTCTCTCCTGTGTAGATTTTCCTCCGGTTTACTACGTTTCTCTCCTGTGTAGATTTTCCTCCGGTTTACTACGTTTCTCTCCTGTGTAGATTTTCCTCCGGTTTACTACGTTTCTCTCCTGTGTAGATTTTCCTCCGGTTTACTACGTTTCTCTCCTGTGTAGATTTTCCTCCGGTTTACTACGTTTCTCTCCTGTGTAGATTTTCCTCCGGTTTACTACGTTTCTCTCCTGTGTAGATTTTCCTCCGGTTTACTACGTTTCTCTCCTGTGTAGATTTTCCTCCGGTTTACTACGTTTCTCTCCTGTGTAGATTTTCCTCCGGTTTACTACGTTTCTCTCCTGTGTAGATTTTCCTCCGGTTTACTACGTTTCTCTCCTGTGTAGATTTTCCTCCGGTTTACTACGTTTCTCTCCTGTGT